AATGTTGATTTGAAATTTAGACAATGTTGATTGTAATTTAATTGTTCATCATCCCTTCTGGAAAATTGTTGGCGTCACTATATAATTTAACAATTCTTGTTTCCCGAAAATTCTAAGCAAAGTCTTCCACAGGTTCTAACGTTAAATGGCAGGGCCCCAATACCTCAACAATGAAGTCATAACAGAGGTATAATAAATCCGACAGCAGGGGTGCATCTTTAGCCCTTGTATTTCAGTCTCAGTCTAAAGATACACCTCTGTGGTCGAGTTTATGTTAACCCTATTATGACTTTCTTTGTTGAGATATTTGACTCCATTACAATGGGATCCTGCTATTTAACGCTTAAGTCTGTGGAAGACTATACACTGTAAACTACAAAAATTAATATACAGGGTTAGCATAAAGTCCCGGAACGAGTGAATAATTTTGTTATTTGAAATGGTTTTTTTTTTTGGAAATTTGGTCAAAATCACGTTATCTTTGAAAATACTAATAAATAAAAAACTATGCGTGGGACTACAATAAATGTCCAAAGTGTTCTACGTTTACAATTTGGCAGTAATGTAACCCATCAATAAAATGTTTCATTGCCCTGTCTGTCAAACCGAGAGCGATAAAAAAAGGAAAACTATTGTAATCAAGTCGTCATGTTTAACTATATATTCAAAGCAAATTTAAAAAAAAATACTTTTCAAATAACAAAGTTATTCCACCGTTCACGGACTTTATACTAACCCTGTATATTTATTTATCCACTAAAAAATGTTGATGTCGTCGTTGTAAAAAACTGAGAAGTAAAACTTTATTCAAATGCATATCCTCAGCTGCTTTTAACGTTGATTAAAAAACACGGCATTATTTTAAGAACTTTTTCGAAATTATTTCATTCGCTGGATGAAACTTTATTTTCATTCTGGAAACTTGAGAAACTGAAACGACAAAATTATGATCATATCTTTTTGATTTTTAAATTGTACAAATTTTTAATTGCATTAATACACAAGTTTCCTACAATTTATACATTTTTAGCGTTTTAAATAAAATAAAACAATTGTACTGAATACTGAATACTGAATTAAGTAAAAATAATATTTTATTAACAGTTTTAGATTTTCATAAATTAACATCAATCGTAATTTTATATATATCTTTTTTATTTTAGAAGTTCAGTTTATAAAAAATCTTATAATTCTACTATTGTTTCATATTTTTAAAGAATCTTCATAAAGTTTTTAATAAAAGTTTGGTTTTCGGAACCCCGAGGTAATGATTAATAGGAACGGATGGGGGCATTCCTATTGTGACGTTAGAGGTGAAATTCTTGGATCGTCGCAAGAGAAACCGAGCGTCAGCTAAAGACGTTGCATAATACCTAGAACACGAAAAAAATAGGTCTCCCATTTCCGTCTACTTGTCTACCATCTATCCGCCATCTGTGACGATTTTTATTACACAGATATTCTCCAAAACTACTGGACCGACTATTGCCAAATTTTAGATGTACCGGGTGTCTGGAAAATGGCGGATTAACTCTCCGCTACGCTCTTAACAATCAACTGGTGAGTCTGGGAAAAATAGTAAAAAAAATCCTTCTCACATTGTGGTGGAGTTATAATGATTTTAAAATTGGTTCTTTTGCTACGTTTACCAACTAAACAACTCATTCATTATCAAAATAACTAGTAATAAAACTTTTAGTTAATATTTTTCTCGCCCATGACCATGTTTACTTGCCATTTCAGTTATAATGCACAAAGATATGGATGTGTTGTTTTTGTAATAATTTGATAAAATTCCATTTGACAACAATGTATGCCTGATATAAAACGAAGGTGGATTTCAGTCACCATCGTTACTAAGAAACCAGAAAGTAAGCTGGACGTATTCACGCATTAGGGGTGTGCAGTGTTGCCAATTTTACTTTTATAAAATTACGTTTTTTTCGTAATGTACATCATAAAGAATTGTTTTATTATTTTTTTGGGACTCTCGAAACCCCCGTGTATAACGTACCGAAGAGTTAATCCGCCATTTTCCAGACAGGCGGTATAGTGTCTCAGATACTACAAGGTTACATGGCTGTTTAAAATTAGGGTATTGTGAAGACGACAATGGAGCAATTAATAAGGCAAACTCACAGTTGTAAATTGTGTTGTTTTTTAAGCGGATTACCCAGCAGTAGAGGTGACAAGATATGGAGACAAAGGAATTTATAACATCCCATTATTAAGTTTAGTGGAGCCATATAACTTTGTAGTATCTGAGACGCTATACACTGTGATTATGAATATCGTCTAGATGGCAAAAAACAAAACAAATTTTGTGCATTAAATATGCATTATTTAAAGTTTATAACATAATATTCTGCTACATTTGTGGTTTATGAAAACGCCTTGAGTTTTTCTCCTAGGCAATCAAATTTTTGCAAAAAATTTCTTTTGTATACAGGATGTTATTGACAGGTACGTACAACAAAATTGGCAGTTTTTCGCGAAATCTAAGAAGTCTGAAAAACTTATTTTATGTTATCAAAATTATAAGAGGAAAATTAACCCTATCCAACCTGTTTAGACGCTACTGAAGGATGAATAGGTAAAATTAATTTATTTTAATAAATCCTAGCAACTGTAACAATAATAAAAAAATAAGAGACCCTTTTGTTGCTATAGAAACGAAAGATGACCTGTTTATCAGAAGCGTACAACGAATTTGGACATAAATTTTAATAACTTTTATCTCTAAAAGCAGAACACTTTTACCTGAACTTTTTTTTAATTTTAGCACCCATACTTCGAGACCTATTGCCGATTTTATTTTGTACGTACCTTTCAATAACACGCTGTATTTATTATACTTTTACTTTCATATATTTACATTTTTACACAGTGATTAGAGTCCCAGACTTCGGATTTATAATGTGAATTTGGATTTTTTTCTTACACTGTAACTGGTATTATCTATATAGTTTTTAATTTATAGAGATTACTAATACAAAATATTCAGAATCAAATTTTATAATTTTCCAAAGAAGCGAGATTTGTTGAACTCTACTTCACAGGTGACGGAAGTTCTGTGGAAATAACCTTCGACCAATTTTTATTATTCTGAAATACTATAATAATATTTTTATGCTTTTCAATTTAAAACTGCGCAAATACTGAATCAAAACTTTCAAAATGTTATTTTTTTGACAGAGTGTATTATTTTAAAATTTGTGGATTTTATTGAAAAATTAAATTATTTCAGATTCAGGAGAATTACTGGATCAGCTGAATTACTGGAATTACTTTGGTCTTAACGAAAATGAAATTAAAATCTGAAGTATCAATTTGTCGCTTTCGCTTGCTGTTTTTATTAGGGTGATTTTTGACGAACAAAATTAAAAAAAAGTTTAACCTCTGGAATTTTTTACTTCCCGAGCGCAAGTGTCTGTCTGTCGCCTGTTTGTCGTCTATCTGCGTCGATTTTTATTAGACAGATAATCTCCGAAACTACTGGATAAATTGTTGTCAAATTTTATATGGACGTTAAGAATAGCATGTGGTTGATAGAACGTCAACCAAAATTTGTTTAATCATCCCCACCAACACTTTGATGACGTTGACAAAATTGTATATAATAACTGTGATAGAAATTAATAACATATTTCTATACTTGCGTTTTATGAATCCGCCTTAACTTTTCCCTAGGGATCCAGATTTTCGCAAAAAAAAACAAATTGAATAATAAGTTTTTATCTATGTTTTTAACTTATAGGGTTAATCATAAAAAATTCCAAAATCACATTTTATAATTTCTGGAAGAAGAGGAATTTGTTGGCCTGTACTTCAGGGGCAAAAGAAGTTCTATTCGAAGCAACTTTTGTCTCCATAAACAAGAAATTTCCAAATATTTTAATTTCACGTTTAGATCTTGTTTTTGTCACAATAGTGAAAAAAGAGACAGCGGATAGAAACTCACATCGAAAATGGAATATATGCTTATACGTATTTATCGATTTTTGAAAGTATTATATTTATTAAGAAAAATATTTGTTCAATGGAACCACAACCTCAATACAAATTTACCACTTTACCAAGTTAATTGTAAATTTTAATTTAAATTTTATTGAGGATATTATTTCACTTAATTTCTTAAACCTTCATAATGTTCACCTGACATCGATCTAATGTGGGTAGCAATAAAATTTGTGACTGCTAAATTTGTTGTAAACAATAATAATAACTTCAAAACTTAAAATATATATTATTAAATTCGATTTTTTCACAATTTCAACCTGAAAACACAAAATAATATTATTTTTTTTACATTACTCACTACAAAAATTCTAAAATTTGTATTCTTTTAAAATCCCCGAATATTTTTTCCGCATTTTTCAATTACAATAAATCCCGCGAATAACCGCATTTGTCAAATTTCAATTTCACTTTCATCATTATCCAACCCGCCCACAAATATGGTGATAATAACAACTTTACACCACAATAATTACAGGATACCCACAATCCCATTAATTATCGCAAATTATAGTCAAAATAGCACAAAGAATGTATTTGTTACCGGAGAGTTATGAAACCTCCTTTACCCAAAACCATTTCTAACACGCCGAAATAGAGCCACATCTTCGCAATTAATTACTCGACCACCTTGTCATCGTTAAACATATTCCTTAAAAGACCAACAATCAAATACATTCCTCGGTGACATTTCCAACAAGCACTCCATCAGAGCTTCGACGGTACCAAAGGTACCATGTCAATAGCGCACCGCAATAAGACCACCGGTACAATTTTTTCTAGTATGGATCATGGTACTCTCTCCCATCCTAGCCGACCAGATGAATATTTTGAGTGGGATGCGCAAGCTAAGTGGGAAATAGCGAATTGGGGGAGTTTATGAGCATCACAAGTGTGTGTATATAAAAGGGAAATGATGAGAAGATGGCTTTAGTTAGTTTTTAGTCTTTTGTGTTTTAGGATAACATTGTCGCAGGTAAGCGGTGACAGTGAAGGTGTGAAGTGTGCGATTTAACTAAAGTGATAGAGAAATTCAAAAAGTACTAACACTTTGTAAGGTACGGGTGAGTACCTTGGGTCTTCGCACTTTTTTGTTCTTACAAATTTTCTTAACGAATTACTTTTAACGATTACCTTTTTGAAAAATCATTTCTCTTTTTAGTTTTTTGAAAATTCATTAATTTAAATAAATTCGAGACAAATAACGATTCTGTGGTCTGTACGGTTGAGTACCCGCGTTTTCAAAAATTTGTGCTAGATTTCATTGTCACGAAATTGATGATAACTCTTGAAACGGTTTGTCAACATCTAGCGGGATATTAAGTGAGAAGGAAAGTGTGTACACAAGCATTCGAATTTCACACCGCTTCTTAAATGCTTAAGTGACAATGACTGGGTTATATAATAAAAAAACACTTTTCTTCAGAGAAAAGTGAGTATACTTTACATTAATAATAATACAAAATGCATTAGCATAATGGTATTCACTTCTCGTATTGTTGTGGAAAGTTTTCCGGTTTTTTCTTGTGGTTGGTGTTTGTTGTTATTATTACTGTCCGGTACTGTAGTGGTTTTGTTTAATGGATTTGGTTCTTGATGTTTAGATAACAGCGTGTCTTCTGTTTTAAATAATTAATGTACTCTACATTTGTCGATGTATTAATGTGTTTAATTTGGACAGAATTACACTCCTTTGAGAGGTCCATTATTTTGATTTAAAAAACAATGGCGTTTAAAAAATTTTGTAATTAGAAAAAATGTTCGTCAAGTTTTATTGCGTGCAAGATTTGGCAGTGGCCTTCAAGGTGTCAAATGTGTAATTCTATGAATGTTGAAACTGTTTCATTTTGCAAACTTTCAAAAGACTTTCAAATTGTTTGAAAATTTGATTATTTTTGTAACTTAGAGTGTAATGAGTATATTCAAAAATATCTTTTTCATTCCATGTTTCGCAAAAATTGATTCTGAATATTTTTTATAAAAACGCCTTTGTGTTAAAATAAAAAATAGTCCTCAGAATTTTTGGAAAGTTGAATAACCATTGTGGATTTAACCTATGAAATTAACTGATTGATTCATTAATTTTAATATATTACTAAAACACAAACAATTTATTGAATAAATATATATTTGGGATGACGTCATTACTTACTAGGGGAGATTAATAAATAAATTTTAATTGCTTTTTTGTAATTATTAAATCAATATTAAAATCATGTCATAATATTAAAAAAATTGGTCTAAAGTTATTTAAACAGAGCTTCCCTCTCCTCTGAAGTACAGTCGAACAAATACAACTTCTTTGAAAAATAATAAAAATCAATTCTGCGAATTTTATGTACTTTTTTATGACAACCCATATAACTTAAAATGAAGGTATATGAGCTTCTAGTCATAGTGGGCGTGGTCTGCACAGTTACGGACATTATTAAATATATTTAAAGCATGTAATCAACGGGAAAATATGTATTATTAGTACATGTTTAACTTCGACTATTTATGCTCATAAATCGAAAAAATGCACCCATTAAATACGCACCAAGCTGGTTGATTAGAATATACGAAAGAATTTTAATGATTTTCTGTCCTAAAAACAGAGGGGGCAACTAATTATTAAGCCTCTCTGCTACCGAGACCTGATTTGCGTGCTGCTTATACTAGTTCAAAAGGTAGGTCATACAATATGCAATTTTTTGCGAAAACTTTGATATCTAAGGGAAAAACTTAAAGTGGATTCATGCACTACAAGTGTAGGAGTATATTACTGTATAACATTTAAATAATTTTAATGTAGATGCGGGTCATTAGCCAAATTTTAGTTAGTATTTTACCAAACGGTAGTATCGGATATTATCTCTCTAATAAAAATCGACACCGACAGACAGATGACAGAGAGACAGACAACAGACGGAAACGAGATATCTATTTTTTGGTACGCATAGGGTCATGAAATATCGAGAAAATATGACAGTAGCTAGTCGCCCGATGGACTCGATTACGATACTTCCTTAGCTTACGCTCGAGAAGTAAAAATCGTTTCTTAGTTTCACAATTTTTGTTTTTACTTCCCGAGCGTAAGCAAAGGAAGTATTGTAATCGAGTCCGTCGGCCGACTCTCTACTTTTACGTTTTCTCGATCTTTCATGACCCCTAGAAGACGAAGAAATAGGTCTCCCATTTCCGTCTGTCTGTCCGTCTGTCCGTCTGTCCGTCTGTCCGTCCGTCTGTCCGTGCGTCTGTCCGTCCGTCTGCCGTCCCGGATTTTTATTAGACAGATAATCTCCGAAAGTACTCGACCGATTGTTGTGAAATTTTGTACTTATATTAAGAATATCATGTAGATGGTAAAACGCTAACCAAAATTTGTCTAATCATCCCCACCACTAATGCGATGACGTCACTTCAAAATTGTACATAGTAAATGGGTTTTCAATTGTATAAAATAACATAGTCCTACACATGTAGTTTACAACTCTGAATCGACTTTTCACCCGAAACGTCCAGATTTTTGGAAAAAAAATCAAAATTATAAAACAACATTTTGAAATTTAATTTTTAATCTGCTAACCAGAATGCTTTGAAATGTTGCAGATGTTTTAAGGCTATAAAGAGCATCATAAATCTTTAGTCAAAAAATATTTGCTTATCCCCTCCAAAAACTTGATGACGTCAGCTCAAAAGTTTGTGGAATAAATCATATCTAAAATGTACAAAATATGATGAGTCTGTACTTGTGATCTATCACTCCATTCATATTTTTTGGATTTGCATATACAGGGTGACTCAAAAAAATTAATGAATGCGTAAATATATTTTATTGATTTAATCAGGAACTACAAAACCGAATGCTCTGAAATCTTGCAGATGTTTTAAGGTCATAAAGAGCATAATAAATGTTTAGTCAAAATATATTTGCTTATCCCCTCCAAAAACTTGATGACGTCAGCTCGAAAGTTTGCCGAATAAATCATATCTAAAATGTACAAAATATGATGAGCCTGTACTTGTCATTTATCACTCCATTCATATTTTTTGGATTTGCATATACAGAGTGACTCAAAAAAATTAATGAATGCGTAAATATATTTTATTGATTTAATCAGGAACTACAAAACCGAATGCTCTGACATCTTGCACATGTTTTAAGGTTATAAAGAACATAATAAATGTTTAGTCAAAATATATTTGCTTATCCCCTCCAAAAACTTGATGACGTCAGCTCGAAAATGTGCCGATTAAATCATATCTAAAATGTACAAAATATGATCAGTCTGTACTTGTGATCTATCACTCCATTCATATTTTTTGGATTTGCATATACAGGGTGATTCAAGAAAATAAATGAAAGCGTAAATTTATTTTACTGATTTACTCAGGAACTACAAAACCGAATGCTTCGAAATCTTGAAGATATTTTAAAATTATCATAAGCATGGTAAATTTTTGATCAAAACGTATTTGGTCGTCCCCCCTAAAAAATTTATGACGTCACCACAAAATTTTGCTGAATAAATCCTATCTAAAATGTACAAAATATGGTGAGTCTCTTCTTGTGATTTATCATTCCATTCAAATTTTTTCGATTTGCATATACAGGGTGACTCAAAAAAATTAATGAAGGCGTGAATATATTTTATCGATTTAATCAGGAATTACAAAACCGAATGCTTTGAAATCTTGGGAATATTTTAAAGTTATTATAAGCATGGTAAACTTTTGTTCAAAATGTATTTGTTCATCCCTCCTAAAAAAATTGATGACGTCACCCTTAAATTTTGCTGAATAAATCCTATCTAAAATGCAAAAAATATGATGAGTTTGTACTTGTGATTTATCATTCCATTCATATTTTTTAGATTTTCTTAAGAGGTGGTTCAAAAAAATTAATGAAGTCAATTTATTTTATTGATTAAATTAAAGGCAACACTTATTATTAGTATTACACCCCAACCAACCCAATTTGGTAGACACAAAATTTGTTAAAGGAAAAACTCGGTTGAAACATAAGAGTAGCACGCTTATTTACATCGACTTTACAGACCTGCATTTGTTTTATGCGTTCACTTGGTTCCGCGAATGTGAAATAGACATGTTTATAATCAACCAATTGTGAATTTCACCGTCAAGAATTAAAATAAAACCCAATGTTTTATATAATAAGCGGAAGTCGAAGCAATAAAACCGATGGTCGTTTTGTTTACAGTTTCTCTGTTTGACTCTCACGTATGCTGTTACGCCTGTCATCTTAAATTAAGAATGTTTATACATACACGATTTTCAGTTGCCTCTGATACGTATACGTGAGTAAATTGTTTCGTTATTTTATTGATTATTACAAATCAATATTCAAAACGACCCAATTCATTTTCCCGAAAATTTGAGAATAGAATAATTTTATTCTTAGTATTACACTACATCTATCCCAACTGATATACGTGCCCTTGCAAAAATGTTGATGACGTCATCGCAATTTTTTTTTAAATTCCCACTACAAAAATGTAATGAGAAAAAAAACACAATAGGCATGCAGTCGTCAAGTTTCCGACAGCGAGGGAAGTACTGTCTAAACTCTTTAGACCAATTTTTTTTTATAACCCTCGCATTATTAAAACTATTAATAAACCAAAATATTTAATTCAGACAATACAACTTTTGACAATGACGTCAGCAAATTTTTGGGCAGGAGGTGAATATGAATTGTAATAATCAAATTACGACGCTCACAATAATAGATGCAGATTTTTTTGCTCAGCAATCTATATACTTTAGGTTAAAAGTAACGTAGATTAACAAATCGTAAAAGACAAACGACAGACAGACGGAAACATGGGATCAGTTTTTCCAAGTTCCAATAGCTATGAAACGAATGAATACTTCCCTTGCTTACGATTCCGAACTAATAATTAAATAGGGGAAATTTTAGAGAATTTAAAAATTATTTAAAATCAAACTTTTTCATATTTTCAGCGTCCATAAAATCCAAAATTAGGCATTTTTAAAATTTCAAGAGGCAAAATCATTTATTATTTTTTTTGTTTTTAGTTTCCTTATCATAATA